AAGAGGAACAAATGTAATCTGAACAATAAAGATTTAACAAATAAATAAATAAATAAAGATAATTGTGGATAAAATCACAAAGCAATAATAGGTTCAGATTATTAATCCATTTCATTTGGCTTTTGTCCCAATTAGCTCCTTAAGGCAAGAGTTACATTAAAATCACAAAGCAATGATAGATTCAGATTATTAATCCATTTCATTTGACTTTTGTCCCAATTAGCTCCTTAAGGCAAGAGTTACATTCTTAATTATCTTTGCATCCCCAATGATAGTGGTAAGGAAGAAGGCACTCGTTTTTGAATTCAGGAGTTCTAATATGTAAATGTTCTTTATCCAAGTTATTTATGTCTAGCAAGGCATACATTATTTTAAGAAAGGAATTCTTTTCTCTTGCTGTAGGTGCACATTAAAGAGCCAACACCATGACTGACTCCAAGTACTTCACAACCAATAAAAAAGGTAAGTATGCGAACCTGATCAAAAAGCTTTGAGATCCTTCAAAAGTTATGGTGTAAGATTGTGGTGTTCCTGACCTCTTCAGACATGCATGTTATGGACAGTCTCATTGGAGATCTACTACTCCTACAGAAAAGTGTATTGAGGAAATTAAAGTATAGGTATTTATTTGTTTGTTTATTTATTTAAATCCTCACCGAGGAAGGGGGCAGGGAGAGAAAAACATCGATCTGAAAGAGAAATATTGATCAGTTGCCTTCCGTACCTGCCCCAACTGGGAATGGAACCAGCAATCCAGGTATGTTCCCTCACTGGGAATCGAAGCAGTAACCTTTCAGTGCACAGGACGACACTCAACCAACTGAACCACTCCAGCTAGCCTAAAGTATAGGGTTTTAATTTGATTTGAAGGTTTTGTCTTAGTAAAAGGAAGGGATCCAACATTTATCCATTGAAGATTGATAGATTCTGAGCATTTTTATTCTTTTTCAATTTTTTACTTGGAAATATACATTTTTATAATAAGGGATACTATTAAATATAGGTATATAAAAAGTAAAAATGAAAGTTCTCTCCCTCCTTATTCCTATTCTTGAGGGGAATTCGGTGTGTATTCTCAATCTTTTTCTATGCATATACATGCATATATTAATACATATGATTTTTAAAAATGTTTTTATTGACTTCAGAGTGGAAGGGAGAGGGAGAGGGAGAGAGAAACATCAATGATGAGAGAGAATCATTGATCAGCTGCCTCCTGCATGCCCCCTACTGGGGATTGAGCCCACAACCCGGGCATGTGCCCTTGACTAGAATTAAACCCGGATCCTTCAGTCTGCAGACCAATGCTCTATCCACTGAATGAAACTGGCTAGGGCTACATATGATTTTTTATAGTTTATCTTTGAAAAAAATGGAGTCATACAAAACAAAGCAAGAAACTTGGTATTTCACATCCCATATAGATCTACCTCATACTTTGTGGCTAGGCTTTGTCTAGATCAGTGATGGCGAACCTTTTGAGCTAGGCGTGTCAGCATTTTGAAAAACCCTAACTTAACTCTGGTGCCGTGTCACATATAGAAATTTTTTGATATTTGCAACCATAGTAAAACAAAGACTTATATTTTTGATATTTATTTTATATATTTAAATGCCATTTAACAAAGAAAAATCAACCAAAAAAAATGAGTTCGCGTGTCACCTCTGACACGCGTGTCACAGGTTCGCCATCACTGGCCTAAATAATGTTTGCAAGTGTACTTTTGCCATATGCGGAGAATTCCCTGAAGATTAATAATACACTTGTCCACCAGAGGGCCCCAAACACTAAAGAGTCTCTGTGTCTCTTAGAAAATTAGTTCTTGGGAACACTGTCATACACATAATGCTGTGTTTGGTTGGTTTAGTTTTAACCTACTCCTAATTAACACCTCAGCAGGCCCTCACTTAACAATTCTGTTCCCTTAAATTCAGCTCCACCTGCAGCCTGCCCCTCTTTGCATCCCTTGAATCACCAATGATAGAGGTAAGGAAGAAGGCACTTGTTTTTGAATACAGGAGTTCTAATATGTAAATGTTCTTTATCCAAGTTATTTATGTCTAGCAAGGCATACATTATTTTAAGAAAGGAATTCTTTTCTCTTGCCGTAGGTGCACATTAAAGAGCCAACACCATGACTGACTCCAAGTACTTCACAACCAATAAAAAAGGTAAGTATGCGAACCTGATCAAAAAGCTTTGAGATCCTTCAAAAGTTATGGTGTAAGATTGTGGTGTTCCTGACCTCTTCAGACATGCATGTTATGGACAGTCTCATTGGAGATCTACTACTCCTACAGAAAAGTGTATTGAGGAAATTAAAGTATAGGTATTTATTTGTTTATTTATTTAAATCCTCATCGAGGAAGGGGGCAGGGGGAGAAAAACATCGATCTGAAAGAGAAATATTGATCAGTTGCCTTCCGTACCTGCCCCAACTGGGAATGGAACCAGCAATCCAGGTATGTTCCCTCACTGGGAATCGAAGCAGTAACCTTTCAGTGCACAGGACGACACTCAACCAACTGAGCCACTCCAGCTAGGCTAAAGTATAGGGTTTTAATTTGATTTGAAGGTTTTGTCTTAGTAAAAGGAAGGGATCCAACATTTATCCATTGAAGATTGATAGATTCTGAGCATTTTTGTTCTTTTTCAATTTTTTACTTGGAAATATACATTTTTATAATAAGGAATACTATTAAATATAGGTATATAAAAAGTAAAAATGAAAGTTCTCTCCCTCCTTATTCCTGTTCTTGAGGGGAATTCGGTGTGTATTCTCAATCTTTTTCTATGCATATACATGCATATATTAATACATATGATTTTTAAAAATGTTTTTATTGACTTCAGAGTGGAAGGGAGAGGGAGAGGGAGAGAGAAACATCAATGATGAGAGAGAATCATTGATCAGCTGCCTCCTGCATGCCCCCTACTGGGGATTGAGCCCACAACCCGGCTTGTGCCCTTGACTAGAATTAATCCCGGACCCTTCAGTCTGCAGGCCAATGCTCTATCCACTGAATGAAACTGGCTAGGGCTACATATGATTTTTTATAGTTTATCTTTGAAAAAAATGGGGTCATACAAAACAAAGCAAGAAACTTGGTATTCCACATCCCATATAGATCTACCTCATACTTTGTGGCTAGGCTTTGCCTAGATCAGTGATGGTGAACCTTTTGAGCTCGGCATGTCAGCATTTTGAAAAACCCTAACTTAACTCTGGTGCCGTTTCACATATAGAAATTTTTTTTTTTAATATATTTTATTGATTTTTTGCAGAGAGGAAGGGAGAAGGATAGAGAGTTAGAAACATCGATGCTAGAGCCTGACTGTCTCTAGATTTAACTAAGTGGTCTTGAAAAACATGCTGCGGTGTCCCTCTACCTTGATTTATTCATTTTTATTTATTTATTTATTTTTCACAGTTTCTAAAGTTTATTATAGAATATAATCCATGGTTTTCTGATGAGTGTACATTGGATATTGAATGTTGGGAACGGGTAGGTCAGAACTTGAAAGAAGCTCAACAGCAGGGAAAAAATTTGCCTCCAAATTGTTTCTCCTTGTGGGAAATGGTATTGCATTTGCTAGAGCTTTTCAAAGAAGAAAGACCTCCTCCCCTTGCACCCTCCGCTCCTCAACATAATAAAAGCCATATATGACAAACCCACAGCTGCTGGGGTCCAACCCCAGCAGGTCCAGGGGTCCCCAAAGGTGTGGACGGAGTCGGCGAAGAAGGAAGGACTCAGAGGCAGCGTTCAGGTGATCATCATAGCCAGGTTCTCTAGCCAGGATCTCCAGCCAAGTTCTGGCTAGGATCTCCAGCGAAGTTCTGGTTAGGATCTCCGGCCAAGTTCTGGTCAGGATCTCCAGCGAAGTTCTGGTCAGGATCTCCAGCGAAGTTCTGGTCAGAATCTCCAGCGAAGTTCTGGCTAGGATCTCCAGCCAAGTTCTGTGTCCATGTTCTCTCGCTAGGTTCTGTCTCTAGGTTCTGTAGTCAGGTTCTGTTGCAAGGTTCTCTAGCCAAGTTCTGTTGTCAGGTTCTGTCCAGGATCTTTTGCCATGTTCTCTCTAGGTTCTCCAGCCAGGTTCTCCAGGTTCTCTAGCCAGGATCTTTTGTCATGTTTTCTCTAGGTTCTCCAGCCAAGTTCTGTAGCAAGGTTCTGTGTCTAGGTTCTGTCCCTAGGTTCTGTCTCTAGGTTCTTTCTCCTGTTGTCTTGTTACATCTGTATTTATACGTAGATGCAAAAGGACACTTAATATTCAGTTTCTAAATATTATTTCCCACTAAAAGGAATTAGGACTCCTTGGAGAAATGACTGATTCCAAGGCTGGGTCAAGGGAAAGTACAGGAACATGAACATCTTATGCCAGAAAGCAAAAGTAAGGGAGGACTCAAAAAATGATGGCGCATGTCAAGGAGCAGTATACTTTGAAGGGGCTTCCACTGGCTAACTTTGAGATAATTTGAGAATTTTAAAAAGTGATCAAAGAAGTGAATTGTAAACAATTGAGTATATATGTACACATAAATTGTAGTTGTAGTTGATTCAGGCAAGAGTCATCAGTGAATCCTAAAATAACTGGCAGGTGAAAGTTTGATGAGGAATAGGATATTTAAATAGTCTCCAAAGTATCTTCTTTAGTGTCAGGACCTGGCAGTTGCCACTTTAACCAAGTATTCGGTGTTAACATCACCAATAATGGAACAAATTAACATGATTTTCCTCTTGATGTGATGCACTGAGTAGAACATACCATCATTTATGAATTATGCCTGCCAAAATGCCTAACATCAGTGTAATCATGAAGGAACACCAATGAGAAACCCAAGCTGAGAACATGCTATAAAATAGCTGGCTTTAAAACAGAAGTCATTATCATGAAAGACAAAGGCTGAAGAACCGTTTCAGGTTAAAGGAGACTAAATAGACATGACAATAAATGTAAAGCATGATCCTGAATTGGATCTTGGCCTAAGGGGAATGGGTATAAAATTGCTATAAAGGACATTATCAAAATCTGTGAGTAAGGTCTGTATGATGATAATGTATCAGGGTTAAATTTCCTGATTCTGATCATTGTATTATGGTTATGTAAGATAACTCTTTGTTCTTAGAGATTATACACTGACATATTTAGAGCTAAAGAGATGTGATGTCTGCAGCTTCCTATTAAGACAATTCAGAAAAAAACTTGTAAATTTATAGAAAGCATGATAAAATAACTATGGAATAATGTTAACAATTGGGGAATCTTGTAATGTTAATATTATAATGATCCAGAAAAAAAAAAAAAAGTAGGAGGGCACATTATAGTGACCTATAGTGAGCAAGGAACACCAGGAGATTTTCTAGAAAGCACAAGCATATCTGTCCTGTTCTGTCATTTGGAGTTTACAGTAAACAAGCTCTTCTATCATAATACAGGAAGCTCTATAGTTAGTTGCCTAATTATATCAACTACCTACTAGTCAGTGGCTTTCAACCTTACCTACATGTTGGAGTTACCTTGTGAATTTAAAACAATACTGATGTACAGGTTTCATACCCAGATATCCTGATTTCATTGGTCTGGGATATGGCCGGGGGGAGGAGGGGATTTTAAAAATCTCCCCAGATTTTTCTAATGTGTAGTGTAGCCAAGATTGAGAACTATTGCTAGCTACTAGCAGTGCTTGGTAGATTTAAGGGGAGGAGAAGGGGAAAAAAGATAAGAATTTAATAAGGTTGTATGTATGAGATAACCTTGCTTCACTTAGAGCCCCTCCTTGGCTCTTCACAGCTTCTTCCTTTCTGTCTTTATTGCTTACACCTCACAAAAGCCTCTAGCCTCCTTGCCATTCATTTTTCAGCTTTTATCTGATTTTCTTATTCTGAAATGTATGTATTTCTTCTGTTAACATTTCATGGGTTTTGAGGACCAGTATATTGTCTTTAATAACATAAAAAATTATAATTTAAAAACTCACTTACCTTTTCAAACATTCTCTTGTAATCTGTCCTGGTAACTTTTTATTTAGGGACTTGTAAAACTTTGAGATTTATAGATGAATCATGGCTGGGTAAATACCATATTTTAAAAATGAATAGACTATGTTCCTTTTACTTCCTACAACACCCACCAGAATTGCCACTGGAACATATTCTTTAAGTATATGACTATTGGAGTTGGAGTAATTTCAGTTACATCCTGTTTTGATTCTTCAACTCCTACAGCTATTCACAATTCAGACTTTCTGAAGTCCTGCTGCTTGTCTTTTATTGTCCCCAGAAGTAAATGATGGGAAGGACCCCTAAGAGCTGGATTTGGCAGCAGAGGGCTTGATGAAGAGAAGAATGACTCTTTGAAGATCCAGCTTTTCTGGCTGTACTATTTTTGCGGCTGTTGATCAAATCAAACCGCAGTTTTTGTAACATGAATTTGTTTGCCTTGTTGGCAATGGATATTGATGTAACACACTTTTTTTTATTGTTCAATGGCTGTGTTTCTTTGTTTCATCCATCACATTTAGAGGCTTCAGCAGATCATAGTTGCTGTCCCCACTATTTCTGTACTGACCAGTGCAGTCTGGTTAAATGAACATCAAGAACCAACATAAAGGTGGAAAAAAAGTGAGGCAATATTTTAGAAGGGTTTAAGAGTATAGATGGAAGTTTGAATTGGTGGTATATTTTCTTTTAAAACCAGTTGAGGGTTGTTACCTTTGCTTATTTCAGCTCTAGCTTTCTGAAGATAGGTGAGCCTGGCCTTACAGTAGTGGTGACAGCCCTGCCACTTCACAGAGCAGTCAATTAATCGAGATTGTTCCTTTAGAAATGGCTCTGGTTTGTACCATTCTTGAAGTTTCAAGATTATTATTTCTGTTTTAGAGTGAATAAAAGACCATTAACTTTTTTTATTCCCCCATTTGCTTCTCTTATTTTACTTTTCCATCACCATTTATCCCACCTTTACCCTCTTCCACCTCCACCCCCCTCCCACCTACAATCACCACAGTTGTCTGTGTTCATGAGCTCTTTCTCTTTTTTGCTCAATCCTCCTCCCCTCCCATTAACTTCTTTTTTTAATATATTTTTATTGCTTTCAGAGAGGGAGAGAGAGATAGAAATGTCAATGATGAGAGAGAATCATTGCTTGGCTGACTTCTGCATGCCCCCCCACTGGGGATCTTGCCTGCAACCTGGGCATGTGTACTTGACTGGAATCGAACCTGGGACCCTTCAGTCCGCAGCCGACGCTCTATCCACAGAGCCAAACCAGCCAGGGCTCCCATTACTTCTTAAAGTACTAATTAGAGGAGAGCAGTGCTTTTCAACTGTGTTTGTGCATTAGAATAACTTAGGGGAACTTTGAAAATATGAACGTAAGAATTCTCCTTGACATTCTGATTTATTTGGTCCAAAGTAGAGCCTGAGCATTATTATTTTTAAATAGTTCCCAGATAATAGTGTGTGGCCAATGTTGAGAACCTCTGGATTCAGGAGACACTCTGTCACTCACTCAGATCTTTGAGCCTCAGTTCTTTATCTGTGAAGCTAAGAATAGGTGAATGAGATGATATCTGGAGTCTTTTGGGTTTGAAAACACTGATTTGTGAAGCTTTTTCCTGCCTACATTTATTTTTCCTCCAGAACGTTGAAATTCTGATGGAAGAACATTCCTCAGATTCCATTTTCACCCCATTGTAGTAAGATAGCGTGAGATTTACTTTATCCCACTCCTATGCCTCCTAAGATCTGGATTGCATCTTCCTTTCTGGCCATAACCTGAAAGATGGTGTCCTTATGAATAGGTTAGTTAATATTCTAAGGATTTGAATTGTACCTGTCCTATAATTTTTAAACCTCTGGGCAACTTTCATGGTGTTACTTAATTACATAACACAGTATTCTGCTTTAGATCTCTGGTCCTGGGAATTCATCCATTTTGCTCTCTTCTTTTCTAGGAGAAATCTTTGAATTAAAGGCTGAACTCAACAATGAAAAGAAAGAAAAGTGGAAGGAGGCTGTGAAGAAAGTGATTGCTGCTATGACTGTGGGGAAGGATGTTAGGTAAGGGTAGGCACTCCTACCATTGACCTACTTTAGACCCAGACCCTATTTTATGGCTTTCACTGCTTTTCATTTAAAATTACTATAATCATAGACCCCATAAGAATGGGTTTGTCCCTGAAAACATCATCAGAAAATATAGTTGCTCTTATATTAATTCTGTGACTTAAGTTGGTTTGTTTTATTTTGTTTTGTGTTTTTGGAAGAGGGAAATCAGTTTGATTTTTGTTGCATGCAGATCTAGCATAGACCCTCCTGAGAGCTGGCACAGTTACAAATCTGTTGCTGAGGTAGCTTGAGAAGTTGATAAAAATATACTGAGAAGCAGAAGCACATATGCTCTTTAACTGGCTCAAGCCAGTGCCCTCAACTTTACAACTTTACATTCAGTTCCTGAATTCAAGATAAAAATCAGTGTTAACAAAATCAGTTTTAAAAATTATTTTGTTTTACTTCCTGTAATTTAACAATACCATTCGGAGATAAGTAAGGATGGTCTGCAGGCTCCTGAGGATTCCCAAGAGCCTATCAGGGGGTCCATGAGGTCAAAGCTATTCTTACAATAATACTTAGGTGTTATTAGTCTTTTTCATTGTGTTAATATTTGCACTGCTGGTGTGGTAGCATGAGTCAAGGCAGTGGTGCCAAACTGTAACAGTAGTCATTGTATTCTTCACCACCATGTACTTGCAGGGAATAAATGCAGTTTTACTTAGGATTTTTTGTGAAGCATTCAAATTTTATTAAACCTTTAAATCTTTTTAATATTCTGTATGATGAAATAGGAATTATGCATAAAGCACTTCTGTATAGCAGAGTGATAGTTGAATTGACCAATACTATAATTTGTTTAATAATTCATTTCTGTAATAATAATTATCACTGTGGGAACATTTGTCCTTACATCAAATTACTTGTAAAATGAGGCTAATTTTTTTCATGTTTTATTTAACAGATTGGCTCCGTCTGTTCACCTTTCCTTTCTCTATTCTACTCTCTTTTCAGCTCTCTCTTTCCAGATGTAGTGAACTGTATGCAGACTGACAACCTGGAACTAAAGAAGCTGGTGTATCTCTACTTGATGAACTATGCCAAGAGTCAGCCAGACATGGCCATTATGGCTGTCAACAGCTTTGTGAAGGTAACTTAAAGGACTCAAGAGCAGTCTCTTCTACGTTAAGTAACCTCTTCAGAAGTATCTCTTGATATTTAGTGTCTGCAGATAGATAGTGTCTGCATTGCAAATAAACAACTTCTGTTCCAGAAGAGAGCCTCTAGAGAAGTACTGGCAGTGACTAGGAATGTTCATGTTTTAGGCATTCTGTATGCCAACGTTTGTCATCCAATTCAGACCATATGGTGAGCCTTCTGTTAGCTGGGCTTGGTACATCCTTGTAGATGGGAGAAGAAAACCAGGTGGAACCTCAGTGTTTTGTGAACTGACAAAGGCTTTCAGGGCTGACATAGGGTGGGCATATTATTGTAGTACAGGGGTGGGCAAACTTTTTGACTCGAGGGCCACAATGGGTTCTTAAACTGGACCGGAGGGCCGGAACAAAAGCATGGATGGAGTGTTTGTGTGAACTAATATAAATTCAAAGTAAACATCATTACATAAAAGGGTACGGTCTTTTTTTTTTTTAGTTTTATTCATTTCAAACGGGCGGGATCCGGCCCGCGGGCCATAGTTTGCCCACGGCTGTTGTAGTATCAGTAACCTGTTTTATCTTTGTAGAAATTACGCTTACAGGTCATAAGTAGTGGAAACCACAGGAGGTACTACTACTATTTTGTTTATTTATTTTATTTTTCTAAAATATATTTTTTATTGATTTCAGAGAGGAAGGGAGAGAGGGGTGGGAGAGAGAAAGAAACATCAGTGATGAGAGAGAATCATTGATCAGCTGCCTCCTGCACACCCCCTACTGGGGATCAAGCCTGCAACCTGAGCATGTGCCCTTGACCGAAATCGAACCTGGGACCTTTCAGTCTGCAGGCCAATGCTCTATCCACTGAGCCAAACCAGCTAGGGCTAGTTTACATTTTTGAAATTAGCACACATATAGGTTTATAATGTTTAAAAAAATTTTTTAAAGTAGGGCAATTTAAGGAATGTTCCTTACTGAGTGTTTTATTTGTACTGTATTTGGAAGAGCACTTGCTAATAAAGAAGAATGTATGTTAATTATGTCAGAGGGCCTTCTGCAGCTTAACCCAGGAACTTACTTTAGCATGGCCCACGCCAGCTTCTGTACTCTGCTTTCTTGGTGGTAGGCCAAGCTCCTTTTTCTCCCTACTTGCTATTTGCAAACTGACTGTGGAATGGGACTCATCTTTCCAATTCCTCATTTTCTCCTCCCTCCCCCCACCAGAATACAAGCCAAAAGGCCTCTTATTTTTAGGGCTGGTTCACAAATAACTCCAGCTCACTAGGCTTTTGCTTAGCCCTCAACTACTCCTGGGCATTTCTTCATTGTGTATATAAAACAGTTAAATGAATTGCTGGCCTACATTCTTATAGGCAACTAAGATTTGTACTTAGGAAAGGAAAGGAATAGCATGGGAGATTTGGATTCTGATGTAGAGTAACTGGAAGCTTGCATTAATGAATATTCTTTTATGGCTTATACAAACTAGACTGTTTACTTTCAGTGACCATGTATACCTATAGTTGTTAAGGATTGTCTGTTATAGGACTGTGAAGATCCCAATCCTCTGATTCGGGCCTTGGCAGTTAGAACCATGGGATGCATCCGAGTGGACAAGATCACAGAATATCTCTGTGAACCCCTCCGAAAGTGCTTGAAGGATGAAGATCCCTATGTTCGGAAAACAGCAGCAGTCTGCGTGGCAAAACTCCATGATATCAATGCCCAAATGGTGGAAGATCAGGGATTTCTGGATTCTCTGCGGGATCTCATAGCAGATTCAAATCCAATGGTAATAGACTTCTGCTTTTATAAAAGAGCAGTATTTAAAATGAGTTACTTTAAAAAGTATCTTTAAAACAAATCTTACCTTTGGGACATTGAACCATAGGTTAGCTGTGGGGAGCATAACTTCTGTGTGTCCCACAGATTTGTCTATCTCACAACCTTGGTGTTTCTGAGGTGAAAACCAAGTACTTAAAATACAAGGGTCTTAAACCAAACCTTTGTATCATACTTACCCCTGTATATGTTTAGAACAGTGATTTTCAACTGGTATGCTACAAGAATTTTTACAACATACAGTATCTGACTATTTTGTCAGAGCACTGACCTCTTTTCCTTTAGATTGTCAAATAAAAATAAATGATAATAGCTAACACAACAGTAGCTGTCCATTGTGAATGAATCCACAATTATACCTTTATTTTTTTTATCAGATTGGCAAAAAATATATTTTTTGGTGTGCCACAGAATTTAGGTGATTAGTTTATGTATGTCATGATATGAAAAGGGTTGAAAATTGCTGACCTAGAAACAAACCAGTCCTTTCATCATTTTCTTGAGGTTTTACATTAAATTTATATCAAATATTTAAAGATTATTTCTTCAGATAGATGTTTGTGGTATTTTGTGGTGGTGTGGGAATAGAAACAATCAAAGTTATCTTTATTGCCTAATTATTATAATGCATTCTTCTATAGGAGAAATCCAGGACAAGATTCTTTAAAATATGTTTTGTTTTTGTTTTTTTTAATTGAACTGAGGAAGGGAGAGGGAGAGATAGGAACATCAATGATGAGAGAGAATCATTGATCGGCTGCCTCCTGCATGCCACACTGGGGATCAAGCCTGCAACCCAGGCATGTGTCCTGACCAAGAATCGAACCGTGACCTCTTGGTTTATAGGTTGGCACTGAACCACTGAGCCACACTGGCTGGGCGACAAGATTCTTTTTAGCCAACTTGATTATGTTCTTTTTTTTTTTTTTTTTTAATCTTTATTGTTGAAAGTATTACATATGTCCTCCTTCCGTCCCCCCCTCCCTTCCCCATCGAGTCCTTCCAGTCCGCCCCCTGCCCCAGGCCTTCACCACCCTATTATCTGTGCATATATAATCCATTATTATGTTTTAAATGTTTGGCAGCCAGAATGTAACTTAACACCTTAAAAGTTTGTGGACCTTTTATTTTTCTTATTGACGTTTTCAACTTTGCCTATATAATGGGGAGCCAAGTCTCAAGTAGTACGTTGACTCTGCTAGTGACTGAAGCTCATTTGTATTATTTCTAAATATCAGTACAAGATGATGAAGGAATATAGCCATTTTCTCTTCCCTTTTTGCCTAATGCAGTATTTACTAGGAGGTGAGTAACATTATGAGTTAATCAATAGATAACCTCCGAATATATTTTTTTAACTTTTTGAAATAGAGAGTTGGAATTTGCCTTGAAATAGACATTGTCTCTCATTTGCAAATTACCTGCTCAGATTTTTGTTTTGACATTTCATATGACTTATCTTATTCTTTGAGTAGCCTTGGCTTCTGCTCATTATCCATTAAATTTAGTATCAAAGTCAAAGGGTGAAGCAATCACATTTTTTAAAAGTACTGTGGTACTGCGATCAGGAATCTTTCAACTACCGCCTAGGCATGGAAGTGGGTGTGGGTGTGTATGTGCTTAAATTATGACTTCTGCTAGGGTATCACCACCAGTATTAGAATTCTGATTCAACCCTGCCTTTTTTCCCCTCAAGCAATACCATGTGTTACTTTTTTAAAAATTCCACAAAGAAATAAATTTATAAGGCAATAGTATCTGTTTTATAAAATGTTTAGCTGGTACCAAGTTGTGGTTTTGACACTGCTTTTGATTCACCCTGAGCAACCATTTTTGAAATTTTCTACCTGAGGACAAATGAGAAGATTTGGGCATCTAGATGAGCATGATATCATGTACCCTGTGGAAAGTTGTTAAATATCCAATGGGGCTAAGAATGTGGAGCAGGCCCTGGCTGGTGTTTCTCATTGGTTAGAGCACTGGCCTGTGCACCAAAAGGTCTTGGGTCAATTCCTGGTCAAGGGCACGTTCCTGGGTTTCAGGTCCTGGTGGGTTGGGGTGCTTGAAAGAGGCAACCAGTTGACGTGACTCTCACATTGATGTTTCTGTCTCTCTTCCCCTACCTACCTTCCACTGTCCCTAAAAATCAATGGAAAAATATCCTTAGGTGAGGATTAATTTTTTAAAAAGGTAGTTTTGTTCCACTTTTTTTTCAGAAGTTGCTCCACATGGGGGCAGCACTGTACCAGCAAATATTAGAATCTTCTACAAAAGAAATGAATGCTTCTAGGGCAGTGGTTCTCAACCTTCCTAATGCCGCGACCCTTTAATACAGTTCCTCATGTTGTGGTGACCCCCAACCATAAAATTATTTTCGTTGCTACTTCATAACTGTAATTTTGCTACTGTTATGAATCGTAATGTAAATATCTGATATGCAGGATGTATTTTCATTGTTACAAATTGAACATAATTAAAGCATAGTGATTAATCACAAAAACAACATGTAATTATATATGTGTTTTCCGATGGTTTTAGGCGACCCCTGTGAAAGGGTCATTCGACCCCCAAAGGGGTCGCGACCCACAGGTTGAGAACCACTGTTCTAGGGGGTTCTGCCTTGGTAGTTTTCTTGTAGCTCACTTCAGAAGGGCATTCTAGATGCCATAGCATTAGAACATCTGCAGAAATGACTTTGAAATCTTAAGAGTAAAATGTTAATCAAGATGTGACTACTCTTGGGGTTATGTCGATCGCCAGGCTGATTCCTAAGGGTGTAGTGTACCTTGTTACAGGTAATAGAATTTTATTATTTTTTCATTTGCTTTTGGGTGATCACACATATCTTATTTTCCTGCAGCTGTTTTATCATTTATACTTTAAAGCTGATTTTTAGTGAGATGCAATTTGAAAGAAAAAAGACAGACTTTGAAGTAAAAATTTTCACTCTGTTAAGTCCTGGCTTAACTTCCTTAAGCCTCATTTTCTTTCTGTACAGTTGAGGGCAACCATCTTAGATAGTTTTGGGACGTATTAATTGAGCTGTTGCATAAAAAGTGCCTACTAAAGGACCTGGCTTATGGGAGCACATGAGAGGAGCACTGCTGCTACTGTTACCTAATGGCAAAGGTTAAAATTATTGCTACAGTATTAATTTAAAAGGTTCTGATTCCTTTGATATTTGTATACATTCACATAGTAAAATCTTTTCTGGGGAAATTAGACCTAAACTATTTGGAGTCCTGGTTGGGTGGCTCAGTTCGTTGAAAGGTTGTCCAGAACACCAAAAGATTGTGGGTTTGAGTTTTGATTAGGGCACATACCTAGGTTACAGGTTCAGTCCCTGGTCGGAGTGCATACAGGAGACAACTGATTGAAGTTTCTCTTTCACATCGATGTTTTTCTCTTTCTCCCTTCCTCTCTTTCTCACATCAGTAAAAACATATACTTGGGTGAGGATTAAAAAAAACACAAACTATTTTCAGGTGCAGATTTTATTAGTTCGATATTTTGAAAGTAAACCCAGAATGAAGAAACACTTTGTAGCTGCAGGAAGATAATTCACATGATGTCAGAATTTAAAATATTTTCTCTCACTAAGTTTATATTTGCAAGAAAAATGTACTCTGGAGTGATGGTGATATTTCTCTAGTTGTTTGCCCATACATTAGGGTTTTCTTTCTTTACTATGGTTCCTCATTTCTCTCGGAGAGGCATTTTTGAAGTATTCCAACTTAACGTATTTATGCTAGACTCTGCCAGTCCAGAGGCTTGACAGCTCCACCACAGGTGCTTTGCTTTTTGTTTGTGAGTTCAGTTCTCCTGAGTCCCTATGGCTTCGGGACTTCTCCCCTTTTGTCTTCTGAACCTTCTCAGTTCTGCTTCCATCACTCTGAGAGCTGCCCACAAACTGAATTAGTAAAAAAATACATATTTTCACTTGTTGAACAAGTAACATCTCGCTCTGTTCTTTAACATGTCACTTGAGACAATTCCCTAAAGGAGAAAGTGAGGTTCCAAACTGTTGCTGATTTTTAGGAGGATAAAAATATGTAAACCATAGGATGAAACTGTATATTCATTCTAATAGTTTTGGTCAATTCTTCTGCTTTCATTATATTCAGGTCTTCAGGGACACCAGCCAAAAGGATTATACATTGAACGGGAAAACTGAAGCATTAATCTGTTCAGAGTGTGTACACTTGAATGTCACTGCCAGAAATGAAAATTCTCTTAGAGTCTAAGTAGTAATTTAGTTAATAGGAGGAAGTCACTGTACTGGAAGGTGATGTCTTTCCTGGGTTCTGGGACTATGAAAAGAGTGAAACTAGAATGCAGGATGAAAATCAGAGACAAGGGAATGTGAGAGATTTCTCATAAAGGAGCTTCTATCTGTGATACTCCACTCCTAGTGTGTATGTCTAGATTTCCTCTAGAGTTCTTTTATACAGGATCATTTTTATTCTAACCACATCTACCACTTCAGCTTGCTCCTTTATGAAAATATGAGGCCAAATTTATGTCCTCAGAATTTCTGCATTAAGATAGAGATAGCTTATAAATAAGATTTTATAGCTAGACTAGGGGCCTAGTGTATGAATTCGTGCACCTTGAAAGGAACTGTGGGCCATGAGGCTGAGGTGGGCACAGGGGCGGGTCTTGGCCCCTCCTCCATGCCCCACTCAGCCCCTCCCACCACGGCCCCTGGTCCCCTGTCTGTCATCAGCCCCACTCCTACCACTGCCACTCCCATTCCCTAATGGCATCAGCCCCCTTGCACCCACTGATGGTGGACGCGAGCGGGGCCATCGCTGGCAGCGGGAGTGAGAGGTGGCTGCTGGCCCCCATGGCCTCTCAGGAGCATGGAGAGGTGGAGAAGCCCTGAGGAGTGCGATCATGGCCGGCAACTGGCACCAGGCACCAGCAGAGGGTGCGAGTGGGGGCTCCAGC